ATTGGATGCCTCATCCAAAGAAAGAAAGTTTGAAACTTTAGAATATTACAATCACTACATGCCTTATCCACATATTACAATCACAGCATGTCTCATCCACATAAAGTATTACAATTTGTAAAATATAAAAATAATTCAAACCATCAAAACCATGAATAGAGCAGTAGTAGAGATTGTATGTCTCTGTATTGTTACATCTATATTTGTTTTTCAAAACAAAAACTATTATTTTTAGAGTTAGATTTAAAAACAAAAAAATATAGATAAATTATACATTTATTTTTTTTCAATTCAAAAAATATATTCAAGTTGACAGCTCTTTTTCAACAGAATATATTCAACATAATAGTTAAACTCTTTTTCGATTGAAAACACAAATAGAATATCTAAACAAATTGAAAATATAAAGTCTTATAAATTACTAGGGATGCTCTCGGTTTGATAGTTCAGTTGCGGCCAAAGGAACCTCAAATCTGCCATCCGTCCAAAACTAGGCAGATTGGAAAAAATCAATCAGCAACCGTTCGCTCGTCATCACGCATCCGGTAAAAATGCGGCGGATCGGTTCGGTTTGGTCGGTTTGGGCAGATCGGTATATCCGCTGCTCATCCCTACTTCCTAATAAATATCTCTTTTTTTTTAAAAAAAAGAAAAGAAAAGAAAAATAATAGCAGTCTGGGACATCTCAATTACGTGAAGGATGAGATTTTATATAGCAATAACAAATCTCAACTGGGAAGGAAATAATACTAATATATTATGAAAGCTTTTGTTTGTGTTGAATATATTTTGAAATTTTATTCTATAATTAGCAGTAACGTTAAATTAGAGTGTGATTTTACATATTGCAATAACAATCACGAATTTTAAAGAAATAATTTTAATAAATTTTTGAATTTTTTTAAAAATCAGCTTACTTTATATTCTGAACTAATTAGAAAATGACTATTTGAAGTGTTAAAAAAAAAAAAAAAAACAAGAAAAATATATTAGAAGATCATTCCATAAAATGGCATGTATTTAAGTGTTATATATTATGAAAATTTTTGGTTGAAAGAAATATCATTTCATATCTATTGATACTACATGCCAAATCACAAAGTTTAAAAAAATCTATTAATAATTTTTTGACAATGATTAAGAGAATTTAAAAATTAATTTATTTTATTTAAATTAGATTTTGGACCAATTAAAAAATGACGTTTTTGTGTTATATAAATTACAAAATATAAGAAAAATAGATTGCCATTTCTAATTTCAAAGAGGTCATAATGTTTTTGTTTATATAATAGTACGTATAAATATTATGAAATTTGTGTCTATACTATTTTATCATGGAATTATACTATGAAAATCTTTTGATTAAAGCAAATATCATTCCATAACTATTGATACTATTATGGAATTAAATCAATGTCATTCCATAACTATTTACATATTACGGCCTCGTTTGGGAACAGGCTAATTTAGTAACTTTTTGGCTATTTGGCTAAAAAGGTAGGTAAAAAAATAATTTAGCTAAATTAGATTGTAAACCAATTGTAAAATGGCATGTATATTTTAAGTGATATAAAATTTAAAAAGTATAAGAAAATTAGATTGAGATTTTTTTTTTTTTTCTTTTAACCTTAATTGTTGCACTGGTCATATTCTACTTTATGTTTATTTATTAAGAGCAAAACAGAGGAGGCTTTTGTGCCCTAGTTTGGCATAAGCTAAACGAGGTTTTTTTAACTAAAATAGTTATAAAAAGATAAAATATGTTTTTTTAGTTTAATAATACAAAATGTCACATTCAAATCATAATCATTTTATTTTTTCTCTCACAAAAATCAAAAAGCTCATCCCAAACGAGACTTTCTACCTCATTTTTTTTTTAAATATTCATTCCAGACTTATTTCAATAACATTTTTACATGATGGAACGTGATAAAGTTGCCATTAAAATTGCTCAATTATTTGAAAAAGGAAAATTACTCATTTCACGCCAGACTGATCATAATGATTTGATATCTAAGGATAAATTGAAACAACTTTAAAAAAGATGCGCGTTGTTTATAGTACTAACTATCATGTTGCTAATGTGGGAATGGTAATAGAAGATTCACGACAATTGAGATTATAGTTATTATAGATTTTATTTATTCAGTGAATTTTGAACAAATTTGATTAATTTTGATTTTTATTATACTTCAATTATGAAATGTCAACATTTTCTTTTATAATTATATAGATTTTATACTAATAGTTTAAAAATATATTTGGCATAGCCATAAATAAACCCTTTAAATTTTGTCTCGTAAATAGCGTGAGTGATATGTTAATTTTTCTTAAGGGGACTTACGTGTAGGTCTTAATTGATAGATTTATTATCCAATAAGTCCTATAATATTAATGACATTTTTCACCAAACACTACTAAAAAATGTCACTAATTGTTAATTTTCAGCGGTAATTTGAAAATTTTATCACAAAAATGTTATTAATTATAAGTTTTAGCGATAATTTAAAAAAATTGTCATAAAAAAGTGACTAATTTTTAACTTTCAGCGATAGTTTAAAAAATTCGTCACAATTTTTTTTATACTAATTATAAGTTTTTACAACAATTTATAAAAATTATAATAAAAAAAAATTACTAATTGCCAGTTTTTAAAAATATATACAAAAAAATTGTTATAAAAAATTGATTTTAATAATAATTTTATTAAAATTTACTTTTATTAAAACAATTATTATGACCTAGTAACTTAAAAGAAAAGAACTCTTTATAGTGCGCGCGGATCGCGTGCACAATATTGAATAGTTCACATGGACCACATTTTTTTTGAACGACATATCGACCACATTATTAATTTCTTGAAAAAACGGTATTATTGTAATGGATTTTTTTTTAAGTGTGCAACTTACACCTTACACTTACGTCTTTCTGTTTGCTGTCCTGTTTTATGTTTATACCTTCCATTTACACCTTTTGTGTTGGTTGCATATGGTGATTGCATACCATAACGATACCCTATTGTAATAGAGACACGTTAGGTATACGCACTTGCAAGGTATAAAACAGTAACACGGGTATGTTTGGTTTGAGTTTGGGAGATGAGTTTTAGAGATAAAAAGTACAAAAAGTTGTTTGGTTTGATTTTTTTCAAAAGATGTTTTGGAAAATTATTTTGAGAGAGAGTTTTGGAAAAAATGATTGATTTGATGTGTATGAGAGAGATATTTGTTTGAAAAACTTGTAAACCAAACAAGTTTTGAGAAATTTTTTTTAAAAATTTGTTTGATTTGATTATTTTTAAAAATTTATTTGTAAAAAAAATTTCTTCAAAATTTTTTGAGAAACACAAACCAAACAAGATATATGGAGAAAGTGAAAGTTGTGGTGGGAAAACAGAGGAGAAAAAGGAGAAAATGAAGGGAAAAAACAAAAAGAAAGAAAGTGGGAAACCACAATAAGCGTGACTGATGGATCAAAATCGTACTACACGTTTTTACAAGAAGGGAAATGTTTGGACCCATAAAGAAAGATTCCATCTGTTAAAAAAAATAAAGAAAGATTTCACGATCTTTATTAATGTATTAATTATTAATTTGTTATTTGTTATTTTTATTTTTGTATGGGCGAAAGTAATATAAATAGTTTAGATCATTTTAAGAATTAGGAAGTGGTGTTTTGTGGCGTTCTTTACCATTACTGTTTGAAGAAAAGGCAAAGCAAAAGTTGTTTCTCCACTGTCCTATTTTTTTTTTCCCTTTTTCATTTTGATTTGTCTTGAAAAGCTTGGTCACTGTTTATTTTAAAATATTAACAGGCTAATTTAAGAATAGGGTTAAAATCTAAAATTTCTTTTCCGATGTACTAAAAAAAAGTTAAAATTTGATTTTTAATTTATTTTGGATCATATTATTTCTTTATTTTTTTATATATTTTTTTACAAAAAAATTTTAAAGTTAAAAAGTTAACTTTTAACAAACTTTTCAAAACAAGTCTAAACAATGGTAAAAAGTCAACTTTTTAACTTTTTAGTTTTTTTAACTTTTTTTTACCGAAAATAACCCAACTTTTTGCCAAAAAAGTCAATATGCCAAAAAGTCAAAAAATTATATTCCTCTAATTTTAAAATTTTAATTGAACTTTAATGATACAAAAAATTAAAAAAAAAATCAAAACATCAACATCACTATAGGTTCATACACTTAAAGCTTTTTAATATTTTTACATATAAAAATATATTTTATGGGTGTACTACATCTATAGAAGTCAGCGATATAGTACACAATTATATACACTTTCTGTGAGCATTTTTATTAGTAATTTCAAGGTTGATCCTTTTGGATCCAAGCACACCATGAAGATGAAGGTTGAGGTAATTGCCAGAGAAACTATCAAACCATTTTGTCCCACTCCCACTCACCTTAGAACCTTCAAGCTCTCCCTTCTAGACCAACGTATTCCTCATGTTTACAAGTCAATGGTTTTTTACTATCCAATTAATAGCGGTGGTGATAGTAGTAGTAGTGCTAGTGATCAGGAAGCGATGATCACTCAAAAATCGCAACACTTAAAGCAATCGCTCTCTCAAATCCTAACTTGCTTCTACCCATTTGCTGGAAGAATCAAAGACCACCTCTCCATTGATTGCAACGAGGAGGGTGTTGATTATTTCGAATCTCGAGTCGACTGTCCTATCTCTGACGTTCTCGAACACCCCAATCATGAAACCGTGATGAGTTTCGCTCCGACCACCGAGCCGACAGAGCTCGGCAGTAAGCTCCTCGTTTGTTACTCGTTCAAGCCAACTTCTTCAAATGCGGAGGGTTAGCGTTGGCCGTGTCCAATTCCCACAAGGTCGCCGACGCAGCCACATTCAGTGCATTCATGAAAGGCTGGTCCTGCACTGCCCTCGGATACCCCAACACGGTGGTTCCTGATTTCAGCGCCGCCTCTCGCTTCCCCCCATTAGACGATTCACACTCGCAGTCACCACAAGTAATGTCACCGGAGTTCAACACGAGACATAACGTTGTTTGTAGAAGGTATGTGTTTGACGCATTAAGCATTTCAGATCTCAAAGCTAAAGCAGCCAGCTCGAGCGCGCAGCATCCCAGTCGCGTCGAGGTTGTGACCGCGCTCCTTTGGAAATGCGCCGTGAAAGCATCCAGATCAAGGTTGACATTCCAACATCTAAAACAGACGTATGTATTGATCGGAGTGGCGAACCTGCGTTCAAGGCTTGTCCCGCCCTTGCCACAATATTGTTTCGGAAACATATTTGGGGTGCTAAGAGTGGTCGTAGTGGCTGATCACACTGAAACAGAATTAGACTTTCCCGGATGGGTCTCTCGCGTTAGGAAAGGGTTTGCGGAGTCTTGCGATATCGCGGTGAAGAAACTGCAAGGCGATGATGATGAATGTGTATCGGAGACTAAAGCTTCTTCAGCAATTGAGGTTGGAAATCAGGGACCACAGCAGAAAGAGGTCAAAGCACAAGATAGAAGAAGCTTGTTGAGCCATTCTAGTTTGTGCAGATTCCCATTTTACGATGCCGATTTTGGGTGGGGGAAGCCTGTATGGGTAAGCGTTGGTTACTTGGTTCCCCAGAATGCAATGTTGTTGATGGATACAAGAGAGGGTGACGGTGTTGAAGCTTGGGTGAGTTTATCTAAAGAAGAGATGGCGTTGTTCGAGCGTGACCCGGAGTTGCTGGAATTTGTTTCTCTGAAACCAAGTGCTCTCTAAACCAAGTCCGACAGATAATCATCTTCGGCTCTTAATAAGTTGTTTGTTGTTTTGTTTCTCCTGGATCTTGGATTGATGCTCCACTTTTGCTGTTCATGTGCCATTATGATTAAAAAAATAATGAGATTGAAATGTCGTTTGGGAACAGATTAATTTAGTAATTTTTTGGTTATTTAGATAAAATATAAACTAAAAAAAATTAGTATGTTTGGGATGACTTTTTGACTTTTTACGAAAAGATATGCAAAAAGTAAAGAGAAAAAAGAATCTTTGACTTTTTGATATGAATTGTTAACTTTTTAATTTTTTTAATAATTTTTTAACTTTTTGACTAAATCAACGTGTTGTCAAACGAGGCCTAAATGTGCGTGTATGCAAGAACACTGCCCTTCCCTTCCTCTTTGATTTGGATTAGATGCTGATTTTCGGGCGTGGATAAGTTATTCGGTGGTTTTGGACACGGCACGTTAGTTTTCCAAAAGAGAAAAGTTAGGAATTATAAAAATCTTTTTATGAAAATGAATATGAAAGATTTATAATTCTTACATTATCTTAGTATATGATACTTTATTCTAAGTGTAATTCAAGAATTATAAAATTTTTATGATTATTTTTATGAAAAATTTTGCATGATACCTAACATTGCTGTTTTCAAAAATATTATCATTGATAAATGAGGTAGGAATCATAATTTTATGTTAAGTAATTGGGTAGCAGCAAGGATCATGATGTATGCTGATTGACGTGAAGCACGAACAGGTGACGCCTTAGACCATCTCCAACGGTTCATCAAACTTGATATCAAATTCAAAATTTGATGAAAAAGTTACTTTTTTGAGCTCCAACGGTTTCACCAAATTGGTATCAAATCCAGAATTCAGCAAATCTGGTACCAAAATGAGAACAGGCGAAGCATTTTACCAAATCACTGTTCCTAACCGTTGGGAGAGACCAACCGGTCAACCAGCCGGTTGCCCGGCTGGTTGACCAACCGGTCGACCGCCTAAAGGTTCAAACGGTTCGAAGAAAAATGTTCAATAAAAAAAAAAAAAAATTTGCCTAACCGGTCGACCACTAAAAGGTTCAAAAAGTTCAAAAAAAAAAATCAAAAAAAAATCAAAAAATAAAAAAAAAAATTTTTTTGCTTAACCGGTCGACCAACCGGTTGTCCCCGGCACAAATTTGATGAAAGTGCACCGTTGGAGCGAGTGGTATCAAATTGGTAAAATGAGTCATTTTTTACTCAAATTTGGTGAAAAATCTGATTCACCGTTGAAGATGCTCTTAGGGCGTTCAAAGTTGTGTCTTTTGCCAATGGCTTGAATTTGTTGCATACAGGCTAAGGACTTACTAGGAAATATATATATATATATACTTCACATAAAATAAAATGTACTTCAAATTTAGTATTGCCATTATAAATCATTAAAGACAAAATAGTTTTTTGAAAACTTATCATTTTTTATAATTTTCTAACTAAATATGAGATTCACTAAAATAATTATTTCTAGACATCTAATCCTATGATAAAATGAATATGGGATACATATTACTTTTAGCCAAATAGTGCACCGTTGGAGCGAGTGGTATCAAATTGGTAAAATGGGTCATTTTTTACTCAAATTTGGTGAAAAATCTGATTCACCGTTGGAGATGCTCTTCGGAGATTATAAATCATTTAAAGTGGTCTTACTAGAATATATATATATATATATATATATTATACTTCACATAAAATAAAATGTACTTCAAATTTAATATTGCCATTATAAATCATTAAAGACAAAATAACATTTTGAGAACTTATCATTTTTTATAATTTTCTGACTAAACATGAAATTCACTAAAATAATCATTTTTAAATATCTAATCATATGATAAAATGAATATAGGATACATATTATTTTTAGCCAAATAGTCCATAAATTATTTATCCTAAGATTGGTATTTGATAAAGCTAAAAACTGATAACTAAAACTAAAGACTGAAAATTAAATATTGAAAACTGAATATTGAAATTCTTTAAGTTAAAAAACTGTTTGATAAAAACTAAAGTGATGAACTAAAAATAAATTGCTTAATATGTATAAGATTAAATTTAAAATTTATTATTTTTAAATTGTATATTTTAATTTTTATATTGTGATGGTGGTGGTAGTGGTGGTGGTGATGGTAGTAATGATGGTAATGGTAGCATTGATGGTAGTGGTGGTAGTGGTGGCGATGGTGACGACAGCGACATGGTGGTGGTGGTCACAGTAGCGGTAGCGATAACAATAGTAATAGTAATAGTAGTAGCAAAATAATGGTAGTTCTTGTAGTAATAATATCAATAGTGATGAAAGTGGCGGCGGCGGCGGCATGGTGATGGTGGTGGTGGTAGCAGTAGTGATGATGGCAATAGTAATGGTAGCGGTGGCATGATGGTGGTAATTGTGGTGGTGGTGGTGGTAATGATGGTAATGACATAGTGGTAGCAATAGTGATGAGCAATTATGGTAGTGGTGGTAGTGGCACAGTGGTAGCGATAGTGATGAGCAATGATGGTAGTGGTGGTAGTGGCAACACTAGTGGTGATAGCATGGCGGTGGTGGTAGCGATAGTGAAGATAATGATAGCGATGGCAATGGCATGGTGGTAGATGTAGTGATGGTAGTTGTGATAGTAGTGGTGATTGTTAGTTTATAATAATGTATATCGATATTTATGTTTAATATTATACATTCACTCAAATTAAATAATTTTCATATGGCTTAAAATTTTTGTAAATTTTACCTTATCAATTAGTAGCCCAAAATTGGAGTCTATAGCCCAACAAAACGACAAAAGGCTCATTACAAACTTGACCCAATACATTTTAGGATAAATTACAGTGGCACCCCCTGAGATTGATATTTAATACAGATTTTCTCTCACGTTTGAAAAATTACATTCTCCTCCTTAAGGTTTGTAGTCTCATTACAAATTATTCCTTAGATTGATGATGTAATGCCCTAAAAGTTTTTAGATGATCATTTTGCCATTTTTCTTACTATTTCTTCTTCATATCATCATCATTACATTCTACAACTTTCCATCATTAAATTCTATCTGAACATATTTTTATAGACTAATGATATATAAACATAAATTTCATATGAAATTTTCAAACACAATGATATAGTTTAATGGTGATCTTTCACTTTAAAATAAAACACCCATAAATAAAATTTGTATTTACAACAACATCACTATCACAGCATTTTAATGATTTTTTTTTTTGTATAAATTTTTAAATATTTTATTTTTATTTCCATTGTCCTTTTTTTCTTTCTTCTATTCATCCACATTTATTACAGTATTACCAAACACCTTCATTCGCATTTATAACAGTATTACTGAATTTTTTGTATTTGGTGAATTTAAAAAAATTTGTATTTACAAAAATAAAATTAAAATCTGATTTAATAAACAAATAAAACAGAATAATAAACTAAACAACTTACTTGATTAATTTGTTCGATTAATAATCTAATCAAGTCTAGTGTTTGACACTGTGTCCTCAAGACAAATTCGTCCTCTCCACGGTGCTTTCAAAATGTAGATGTCTATCTCCCAAGATGAAATGATCAACTACAAACAATAGTAGCACTACAAATTGTTTGTCTTACGAACACACTAAGTGTTTACACTATTTCTTACAATAAAATAATGCAACAAAATGAAGAATAAATTTGCAAAGGTGAAGTATGAATTTTCTGAATATATTTTACATCAAATGAGGGTTGTCCTATTTATAGATGTAGTGGTGGCTGCAGATTTTGAATTAAACAGGTGCAAACCTTTTTGAATAGGTATGAAACCTGTTCAGTTTGAATAAATATATACAAGTCTGTTGGGTTCAAAATTTGAACAGATAAAAACAGGAAGGGCCCTATTTGGGTGTACAGGAAAAACCGAACAAGTTTATTTTCGGAATTAATTTGAATTCTAGATTTTATTTTACCAAAAAATAAAATTAAATTCAAATATTTTTTGCCCAAAGAGATAGGTATTGGGCCGAACAAGCCCAACCCAACTACACACCACGCACCCGCGCCCAAGCCCAGTTCGCCTGACCGGATAGAAGGCAGCGGTGCGCGCGCGTGTGTGGTGATTTTTGGGTCCAATGGGTATAGCCTATTTTTCCCATAACCTCCCTCTCTAAAACACTTGGGTACCCCTTGGGGCACACCCCAACTACCAAACCCATGCCTTATAAACCCATTCAAAACTTCCCACCAAATCAATGTAGGACAAGCCTTATTCAAACCTTTAAGGATTTTCCACCAAAACTCCATTTCCATGGAGCATACTTTGGCTTCAATTTCCCATTCACTCGGTAGTGGTTTTGAGCAACCAAATATACCACGTGAATCACAACGCGACATAGAACGCGTTACCACTTTGACTCTCGAAAATTGACGCAGGGGTCCTACCTAAATATTAGACCAAAGTTAGGAAATATATCTGCTATAAACCCAGATTTTTCCAAACCATTTCCAACAATCCTCCACATGAATGGAATTTGATGACAACGGAAATGCAACAATATGCAAACTTTATCGAAAAAGTATAAGTCGAAAATATCTTGCATCAGGATAGGTAGCTTTCGGCCTTGAACCTTCCCTAGTGATAACCTATCAGACTTACTAGCTAACCAATGGACACGATGCCTTGAATTGTTCAGCCATTTGTGTAAGCCAAGACAATAAGTTTCACACAAAATATCTTCTAACATATCGTGGTTCCCACTGTTGTGTTCATTTTGGCCTTGAACGCTCCTGGTTTTTATGAGTGTTTCTAGAGAATTTAGCCTTTTCATTCTCATAGAACCGGCCCCAGTTCAACACTCATATAGGTGATTCTTATTGTGAGTATCTCCTTATACTCGTCTTGATTTTATGCCTTAATCAAGATATAAGTAATCATTAAAAGCAAAGCCTATCCTTATGCCCCTGCAGACAACATATGTAGCAGAT